AAGCCAAGACTCAGATTGTGAACTGATCTGAGAAATTGGCTGCTGGATCAAGGAGCATGTGTAGTTTGGCTTCTTGTGAATATGCCATCTTTCATTTAAACTGTACTGTGCTCTCTTTCCTGGATCACCTGGAGCTATCTGAGCTTTCAAGTTGTTATCCAGACATCAAAGTTGTAACTGATTTTCACTTTTTCTGTTGATTGCTTTCAGCAAAGGTTTTCATACCAGTATCAATCATCCCTTCAAGTTACAAAATGTTCTGATTAATGAATAAGCCAAACAACTTGGTATTGCTGACTATGCTCTTCTAAGAGAAAGTCCTCATGTTTTCTGAAGTTATTTCTGTTGCTTCCCTTAATTTCCATGACATATCCATAAAAATTGTGAATTAGATTGTAGAGCAAACCAAGGGACTGAATTCAGTTTTAGAGGGCAACTAGACATTGGCAGCATATCTAAGGTATTCAGGTGTGGGTAAGATTATGAAACAATATCTTGGTGGCCAATTCTATGCTGATTTTTCAAGGTATAAGTAGAGCATAGCTGGGAGAAGGTCCAGGAGATAATAGTTTTTAGTGTAATAGGTCTGAGCACAGCCTGTTTTGTCATGATCATGGTAGGTGACACTTTATAGCTAAATAGAATCTCCAGGCTGCATCAATACAGAAAAGGGTGAATTTGCTGATGCTTATAGATACTTTACTCAGAGATTCATATGAAAACACATAAAAGGACCCATTTGAAAACTTACCAAATATTCTGGTTTTGCCAACAGTAGCAGTCACCCTCCCTGCTGATTAGAAAGGCATGAAGAAGTTTGACAACAAGGATCAATAGCTTCCATGTGCTGCACCTTGCATCTTTTTGTTCCCTTCGTTCCAAAATGTCAGTACACCACTTTTTGGGTGAAATAAAAATATCTTTAAGAGAACAAATACTACTTCGGGGAAAGCTTGCTTGGGGATAGGAAAAACTATTTGCTGAAAGTAGTGCTCAAAATCAAAACAAATCCCCTGCTGTATATTCTGAAAGAGTGATGGGAGAGCCAAAAGGAGACATTTGCATTTCAGCTCAGTCCTGGGAACCACAAGAATTCTCTACCAGTCGATTATAGCTGCTGGCGACTGCCAGATTTCACTGTTCCATTGAGGAAGCTTTCTAGTATGGAGTCATTGTGAGGAGGTAACAGGCATGAAATGGGCATTGCCAAGTCCTTATGCATTCAGCATCGGATAAATCCAAGAAGATTTAGGGAAGAGTTGGAGACAGTTGCTTTAATTAATTCTCTTTCCAGCTGTATGATAAGGCTTTTGAAAAGATACAGGGTAGAAGAAATGTCAGCTTCCATTATTACCACCTATGAAACTGATATGTTGTCTTTTTAACTCAATATAATTTGAGGTGCTTCTATGTGCTTCTTTTTGCCTTTTTAAAAACTACTTTAAAAGAAGAATATAATGACAAGGGCATTTGAAATTTTGTTAAGGTGTTTCTTTTAAAAAAGTATTCAGACCTCTCCTACATCAAACCTTTGATACTAGGTCTTCCTCATTCAAAAATGCCTGCAACTTTTTTACTGTATCCCTTAACTTCTCCCAAAGAAGAAAAAGTTAATGACTATCAAGACTCTCAACACTTCAAAACATTAAACTTGGTGAAACCATCTTAAACAAAATGTTGCCAGATGCATTTGCTTTTATTCTTAGAAAAAAATGCTTGTTCAATTATAAAGTTTTGCCAGAATAAAAAAGAAAAGGACTTAACCTCAATTTTGTTCTTTGTTGTCTGACCCAGATTCTTTCAGCAATTCATCTGGCTTTCATATATGTTTTCACCCATGACATGAATGGCTGCCCATATCAATTCAGCAATGAAGGGAGAGTGTTGTTGGCCTGGTACTTGCATGTGCTATGAACTCATTACCAATCTACAACAAAGATAGAGCTGTAATAGATATTATTTTCTACTCAAGCCAAATGTATGATTCCCCATCTCATAGTTTATTCTCTTTGCTTTGAACAGCAGGCTCAGCACAGGTGGTTTTGTTGTTAAGGATGACTGTCCAGTAGCCTCAGACACCTCAGCGTCAGCTGGGCCTTTCAGAGCCTGCAAGGGCCACCAAACCTGACACAACAGGGCACGTTCTGAAATAATATCTTCAGATTCTGTCCTTACACACATATCATTGTGCCTTGCTGAACTCCTGCAATTTCTCTTTTGAGAGTTGTTCATGCAATGAAACCTTACAGGGAACAATCCTTTAATCCAACACCAATCAGCAAACCATTACCAGAAACAAAATTTCCTGGGAACCCACACAAGCAACACCATGCAAGTGACAATTACCCAAGTTGGTACAGCTGGCTGACATTTACCTGTGCTGTCCCAGAGATGGTTTTCCCAGGGGAAGCCAAACCAAAGTAATCTTTTCAGTGTGGAGCTGAAGATGCCAGTTTGAGACACAGTGCAGCACTGAACAAGGGAACCCATCCCTTGTTCCACCCAGTCCATCACTGCTCCAGCACAGCTCAGTTCTCTAAGTCAGGTCTCATTTAGCACTTTGTTAATTGCTTTTATTAGGAAGAAGAATTTTTACTTTTAGCACATTTTCTAATGTTACGTTCTTTTTTAACTCTTTCAGCTACCAACAGGAGGTCTACAGAAATTTCCTGCCCTCCAAAGACTGTTTCTGAAGTAGAGTTATCAAAAAAGAAAAGCATTAAGAAGACAAAAGGTGGAATTAAGGTAGGATTACTTGTAATTTGTGGACATCCCATATTGCAAGAGAATTCAAAAACCTCATAAATATAGATTTACATACCTATACTTAGAATTTAAAAAAAAAAATTGAGCATTTCTAAGTTAACTCTCTGATTAGGACAAGCTATTTTAACCCACCTGTCTGTTATCCACAGCACTGATTTGCTCATTTCATCTTTATTCATCTAAAGCTGAAAGCAAAAATTAAATGCAGTCCATTTTCTGAAATGGCCAGCACAGCCCATACCTTCAGCAATAAGCACAGAGTAAAACAGTTATGAGCAGGAACATCCAGGTGGTCTCCTCTTTGCCTAAACTGACAGAAGGCGACTGCAGAATTAGTTTTACTCTCATCAGTAATGCAGCTAATCAGTTGCATTTCTCCCACGTAGTTAGGTGTATGCAGCAGCGTGGTATAGGCTTTATAAAACATCCATTCATTAATTTTTAAATCCACTTCCCAACACTACACTGCAAATTATGCCCCCTCCCTTTCCTCCCCATTGTTCTGATAATAGTTCATATGAGGACAGTTCATTACTGGATTCCATCATTATCATCAACCAGCTAAATAATTTAGCAATATAGAATGTAAGAATCAGCCCTTAAAAATGAAAGTGCTCAGGAAGTTGGATTCTGCTGGGATTTAGATATTAGCTTGGATTAACAGCAAACTCAGCAGATGGGTTGTTTAACTGAATTTGAAGAGATTGGCTGTTGAGTAAGTGCAAGTAGTGCTTGGTGCTCTTAAAGCTGCAGGCAAAAGGAGGAAAAGCCTGCTTAAAACTTGCCTGGAGAGCACTTGGAATGATCCAACTCTGCAAGACTGGACAAGAGAGTGTGTGAGTGTTCATCAAAACAAACACTGGAGCTGTGCAAAAGCTCTGTTTCAGCCTGGGCACGGGCTCTGCACAGGGACCTGTGCTCAGCACTGCCTCACCCAGCACTGCTGCTGGGACACAGACACTTCTCAGAGGCACACAGAGGATTCCCAGATTCCTCCACAGGGCATTCTACAAAGAACTCTGGAAATGTGAAGTCTTTGGGTTGGCTTCAGACGGGAAATGAAAAAATAGTATTCCAGAGTCTAAAGAACAGATTATTATGCCTGTAATTATCTACACAAGGAGATAATTCCCCTTCTGTGGTGCAAGAACATAATGACTTTGCCTGGAGTAAGGAATGCCTACACGCCAGCACTGAGCAAGGATGGAGATTATAAATAGGAGGTATTTCTGCACATCTAGAATTCAATTATTTGAACTTGTCTAGTGACTTTCTAGGTTAGGTAGGATCTGATTTTTATTCTTTCAAAGAGTTAAAGTTCTCTAAATAAAAGCATCAGTAATTATTTTCAGTTTTAACATGTCCTTCTCATTCAGATTGAAGTGATGCATGAAGCCAGTCAAGGAGGATCTAGCAGAGTCCTGGTGACCAGTGAAAGTGATGAGAACTTGTCAACCAGGAGGAGGTAAGGCTGCACATACAAGCTACTGTATTTTTTTTTTCTTCTTAGAATGCAAATTGCTGCATTTGTAGTACATTCTCTACAACCTCTTTGAAGTTTCCCCAGATTAATAAATAATTAGCAATAATGAAGTCACTGAAATACTTACAGCCATGCATTTATACTGAGTCTATCAGATGGAAAAGCAAATAAGAGTTATGTTTTTTGGGTTGGGGCTTTTTTACAGTTTTTTTTTTTCTCTTAGAAGTATTAATTACAAGATTTGAGAAAAGAAGTCATTAGAATAAGGCTTGCATGTATTTACAAAAAACGTCTGGTGTTAAAAGATCCTCTCACAGTGTTCAGAATATTCACATTTGACTATATACCTCTGAGGGGCTTCTAGGTTTTTTAACTGCAAGCTCAAGTTTCTGCAAAAGCTTGAGAAAAAGATTATTAACAATGCATTCTAAAGCACCAGATACTTGAATCACTTCCACAAAAAGTATCAAGCAAACACAATTTTAGCTGAACTGCAGTTTCTAGGTCAAAGGGAACAATTAAATAAAAAACCCCCAGAAAACAAAAAACCCACAACAAACCACCCCTGCAAAGAAGCCAAATACCACAATCCTGACTTAATTTCCTTTGTTCTCTTCTTCACTGTCATTTAGATAATTCATGCTTTAGTTATGCCCCTGTCTTGTACACTGAGTTACCTGATGCAAATGACTTCATCTGTAAAAACCCTAACTTGATACATTATGTCAGACAAATTGGAGAGACATACAAATCATAATTATCTGAATTTAATTATACCCTATGAAAATACCATGTCTGGTCCCCAGACCATCAGCTACTTTTCCAAAGTATGATCTGAAATCTTGTGTAGACAGATACGCATCTCCAGGGGAATGGCTGCCTGAAGAGAACATACAAATTATAACCATAACAACAGGTTCAGCTTCTAATACCTGGCAATTTTACACAGCTTTAGACCTAGAAGCTTGTTAAACAAATTTGTGAGCTCTCTCTTTTCTTGGGAACACAAATTTTGCCTTTTGCACACACCAGAGGCAGGGGCAGAATGAGGAGCATTTTGAAGTCCTCTTGTAAAAGGGAACTCAGAACAACACTTAAAAGCATCAGAATTGATCCTGTCAGTTACAAAGAAAGCAACAAGAGATATTTACCTTTTCTGTATTCTTAGGTTTTTTTAAAAGAAATAAGTCTGTTTATTCAAAACAAATTTTACAAAACAACTGTCTTTCTGTGGTACAGAGCAAACTTTAAGAATAAATATTGAATACTTTGTATAAAAATTAGTAATATCAAAGGGAAACTGATGCAAACCAAACAAACAGGTAAAAAAATAGCATTAAATATGCTGTGCAACAATGTCAAACTCTTAATGAGGAGTGACCATTCAGGCTGATATAGTTTTATTTGAAGTAAGACCTATCAGCCCTGCATTGGAGCACTGAGATTATTGTTAAAAAGGATTCCTGATGGAAGTGTACAAATCTTAATTTGTGTTTAGAACCAGAAAATATGAAGTTTTCTATGCCTTTTCTATTTTTTGAAAGAGTGCCTTCATGCTTTCCTTTTTATTCAACAAGCAACTTCTTTTCACTGCAGCAAAAGAAAATGCCTACTACAAACATCAAGGCCCTTTTAAGATTAAGAAACAATCCAAACAAAGCTCAAACCAACTGTAAAACATAGTATTTCAATGGTCAAAAGTGATTTTCAGATAATGGCAACTACATTTAAGCAGCGTTTTAGATGTTAGCTAGTTAAAGCTACTTAAAGATTACTTTACTTTTGCATATACGAGTGAAAACAAATCCCAACACGTAGATATGCTGGAAGACTATAGTCTTACTAGCACATTTTGGTTGCATACTGCATATGAAGACCCTCTTTCCCTTCAGTGAACAGGGTGGCTTTTCTAGCAGTGCAGTTTTGCTGTGCAGCTTTGTTGATTTAAACGGCTCACAAGAAGTCAGAAATCTGATGAAGCAGCTTTCCTTCAATACACAATAATACTTTCTCTATATGTGCATTCATTTTCTCTGTATGCAACAGGTTAGAAAGATCTACATCCCCAGTGCTATTATCCATTTGTTTAGGCAAGAAAAGGAACTGGATTTGTTCTTTCTGAAGTATAGCCGTACTTGTCATACTTGTCAGTCATTCTGATGCTGATAAATTATTTCTTTGTGAGCTCTTTATATGCCCAACATTTGGGACCAGTTAGGAATCTTATCTTCTTTCTGTAAAACCAATGATACAAAGTTACATGTTTGACTTAGTTCCAGAAACTACCTACCCTCCATCTGAACAGCTTAAAGAACAGTCAGCAAGCTCTCTCCTGGTGTCTGTCTGCACTGACAGGTGCCATTATCCATTCAAACCACAAAACCTGCAGCTCCAAGAGCAGTAGCCATTAGTTACACCAAATTTACTACTCACAGCTTCAAACTAGCAAGTCCTGTACAGCTGCCACAGCTTTGGCAATTAGCAACTAAGATACCTGTCCTGAGAGTCTGTGGAAGCACCATGACTGAGCTGTGCAAGGACTGCAGGCAGCCTACAACTCTGGTTCTCGGCAGTATCTTTATGGCACCACAGGACAACTCATAAGGGCTGCAGTTTGCACATCACTTAGCTCGGTTTTGGCTTACAAAGCACAGGCATTTTGTTCCTTTGCAAGTGATATTGACGTTGAGATATATTCAAGGAACAGGGGTTTGTAGACACAAACAACCCTGGAATTTTAAAGACAATTTTGACTTCAGGAGAAATATTTTAGTTATTATGATTTGTGTACTGAGTTGGTGTGAATCACCATCTCCCTATCCCTTCAATGCAAAGTCAAAGTTTGTACAGAAAATATCCTCCCTCTCTGTTAGTACAAGCATGAAATTCTGCTTTTTTAAGTCTTTAACTAGCTCTAAGTAACATTCCCGGGGATTTTTGCTTGCTTTTCACCCCTAGAATATTGGAAAACAGAAGCATTATTAGAAGAAAATTTAACTTACTTGCTTATTAAAGATTGAACTTTTTTAATGTGCTGATTCAGTTTTCAGAAAACAGAGAAATATTAGCCCAACCAGTCACATGAGTGGTATTTGGTTTTTTATAGCTTCAAGTTCTAAAGGGGGTTTCTTTGTTATTTAAAACCACTAAATCAGTGGGCATCCAGACAGTTTCCCTATTTCAGATTTAGGCAGCTTTGACAAAACAATTGTAGCAGGTCTTCACTTCTAGCACTCATTATTTGTCAGCTGTGCATGTTCAGACTGACTTTGTATGAAGCACTGAGAAATAGTGAATATTTGTAGAGAGTTTACACTACCTTAAACTACTGCGATAGCCAGCCTCATTCATCAAGTCAGAAGTTCCACTTTCCTCATGCTTTGAAAGGTCTACTCCATTCCGGTATAACAGGGGTTTTTTTTGCCACATGCTTTAGTTCACATAGCTTTTATAAAAACCATCAAGACTTACTGACAAGTTCAAAGAAACAGATATTTTCGACAAGCATTTCAAAGTCTAGAAGTCAAGTCCATTATAGTTCACTTATAATCCAGACTTGCATCCCTTGAAAGGTGTAAAAAAACAGGCTACAATGTAAAAAGTTGAAGTATAACAGGAGAGCTATTCCAGTAAGTCTCTGAACAGAATCTGGCACCCTGGGACCATCATCTTCCTCTCCCTCTGCCCACCCCAAGCATTCACGTGTAAATGTTACCTCTTTCCATGTTTACATATATTTTGGATAAACACCTAAAACATCGTTGCTCTGTCTTGGCTCAGTGGATCTTCAATGCAGATATTCAAGTATTAAGAAAACGCAGCTGAACAAGGATATGTGTCCACATAGTACAGTTTACAGAGAAGCACAATCTTGACTAGTTTGCAGTACATTCTACCCCAAATCCCTGAAGTAATCTTTTTAACTTTGGGATCTGTAGCCTGCTTCCAGAGCTGGCGAAGATCATCTACGTGTCCATGAGATGTCATCATCTTGTCATAAATACAGGGATGATATGGAGCCTTTCCTTCCCCAGAAAAAAATACATTATATTGTGGTACAATTCCCATTTTATTGGCACAGAGACCCATGAAAACATCATCTATATAAAGACTTGTATTCAGAGTCAATGAAGCCTCATAGACTTTAGCTGCTACATCATTTGATATTACATATGCAGCTCCTGCTGTGTAGTCAGGGTATGAGGGCCACTGGTACATTTCATATGGAACATAGTATTTGCTGCTCTTGTCTCTTACGGGAGGGGATCCGCGATGGACACGACCAATCCAGAGATCTTGAGCACCCATTTGTGTGAGACTTTGGAGATAATCAACGAGATTTGGCATATGGATAAATATGTCATCATCTGCAGACATAATGAACCTGGCATGAGGACAGTAGGCATTCACCCAGCTAAACTGCAAAAGCAATTTAAGAGTAAGATTGTGAAATGTATCCAAGAAGTCTTGCTGAATCAAATCCTGGTATTTCTGGTCTTCGAGCTCAAGTTCTCTTTGCTGCTGTGTTTTCCGCAGATGGTGTGTTGGTCGTCCTAAAGCAAAAAGGGTTTTAATGTTGGCATTAAGTTGAGAACGAACATACTTCTCATTACCCCAAGTTTGTCTAATTGCATCCCTTCGATGACGGTTTTCAGGAGAAGACTTCACAAACAATAGGAGAAGGACATCCTGCTGCTGACATTTCTCTCTGTGGTTGATCAAGTACTGGTAGCTTGATACTCTGTTCAGGTTATCCCTGCTGATAGATAGGCTGTCATTCACAAAATGGTAGCTATTTATGAGGTATCTGTAGGAATAGGACTTCATATGGCTCATAATATGATTATCAAACGGTACCCAAAAAATCATGAGACACAGTATGAAGCAAGTGGCACATATCTGCAAAAAATGGCATTTTCTGACTCTTCTGGGACTAACAAACATTCTGATGCAGTTTTTATAATCCTTATTTTTGTTCAGGAGCAGTGTTTTTACAGTGCCTGTGTTTTAGTTTAAGAGCACAGTGTCACCCTTCAAGATAAGTGTCCCTTGTAAGGCATGATGTCTTTCATTCAGCATCCTTGTGAAGACAGCTTTGTTCACAGACTTCACAAGTCATCTTTCTCAAAAAACATCTTCCTTTGATTGAAAGAACACAGGCAGTTTTGTAAGATGAGGCTTGCAGATGAGTATTTTCCCTTTGGAGCATCTTGAAGCAAACACTACAGTTCTAGTAGGAACTTCTAGTGTTTCTTTCCTTCATGAAGATGAACACCTGCCAGTTCTGAAGGGGGAGAAGAGAAAAGTTTAAGTCAGCTGTTATTGACACATTTGGTTTTAGGTTTGGTCATGGAAATGAGTCGACTTTTCAGTCACTGCCCATCACCACCCACATGCACACATCCCTCCCACTCCTCAAAATTAAAAAAGAGCCGACTGGCAGCAAGTCAGAGGCGGTCGGTGGCCCGGAGCAAGCTTGTGGAGGCCAGTGAGAGAGGAGACTGACACAGAAAGCTCTTTCTTAGAAACCCCCGCTGCCGTTAGCGGGCAGATGACAATCATTTAAAACTCCTCTAGGCCCGGAGAGCGCCGCACCCGACAAACGGCCGGGTTTACACAAGGCATATAAATGCCTTTTGGGCCGGCGGTCGGCTGGACCCGGAGCCAGGCGGAGCCCCGCGACTGCTCCCGGGCAGCGAGCGCCGGGCCAGCGCTCGGGGTCCCGCCCGCACCGCTCCTTCTCCCCCAGCCCTGGGCGCGTCGCGGTGGCCTCGTCCCGCACCTTGGTGGCCGCAAGCCCCAGGCCGGCCCCGCCGCCCCGCCCGGCCCCGCCCGGCCCCGCCGGCCTGAGGGGAGCGCCCGCCGGGCCCAACGGCCGCGGGGCGTGAGGCGCCGCCGGCCCGCGCCGGCCGTTACCGCGCGGCCCCTGAGGCACCCGAGCGAGCCCGGACACACGGACTGACACACGGCACACGGACACACGGACTGAAACACGGACACACAGACTCTGCCCGGCCTCTGAGGCACCCGAGCGAGCCGGGACACACGGACTGACACACGGCACACGGACACACGGACACACAGACTCTGCCCGGCCCCTGAGGCACCCGAGCGAGCCCGGACACACGGCACACGGACACACGGCACACGGACACACGGACACAGGGACTGACACACGAACACACAGACTCTGCCCGGCCCCTGAGGCACCCGGGCGAGCCCGGACACACGGACTGACACACGGCACACGGACACAGGGACTGACACACGAACTGACACACGGCACACGGACACAGGGACTGACACACGGACACACGGACACACGGGCTCTGCCGGCCCGCCCCTTCGGGCACCCGAGTTAGCCGGGACACACGGACTGACACACGGCTCACGGACACAGGGACACACGGACTGACACACGGACACACAGACTCTGCCCGGCCCCTGAGGCACCCGAGCGAGCCGGGACACATGGACTGAGACAGGGCACAGGGACTGACACACGGCACACGGACACACGGACACACGGACACAGGGACTGACACACGAACACACAGACTCTGCCCGACCCCTCCGGCACCCGAGTTAGCCGGGACACACGGACTGACACACGGCACAGGGACTGACACACGGACTGAAACACAGACACACGGACACACAGGCTCTGCCCGGCCCGTTCGGACACCCGAGTTACCCGGGACACACGGACTGGCACACGGACACACAGGCTCACTGGCTCTCCCGTTGGGCACCCCTGCCACAGGTACACCTCTGGACACCGCACCACTCACACAGCACCACTGTCTCTGCTACCGGCCAGGGTTTAAGTGAAGAATCCAAAACACAAAAAGCCACCCAAGTTCAGCCTTCTTGCCCTGCACGTTATAATTTGGTTCTTGTAGCCAGGGTTGTCGCTGCTGTATAACAAACATGAGCAGCCTGAAGTAGCAACCACTTGTTCATCCCATAAAAAGCCAAAATCAGCTCTCAAGCAAGAGATGTAGGACTAGCACCATAAGGAATGACATCCACGAACTAAGCACTTGTTGTATGGAAACAATCCCAGAAGCAAGAGAACACAAGCTATCACTTTCAAGTCAGAAGTTATGTGCAACACAAATATTTTGAGACTGGTTTAGCCATCTGAAGTCTTGCAACTAGAGTAGCATGATGAGAACACAACAGAGTATACAGTGATAAGAATACCTGGGGCAATTTTGTGGTGCTCCAGGAAGGGGACCAGCTGCTCAAAATGGAAACCATGCATTGGTGTACCCGAGGATTGCAGATTGTAATGCATAACAGAAAAGCTGTATGGGCAGTTTGGTGAATAAAAGTCAGTCAGCGCTTTTTATAGTATCAGTTTAAACCCTTTTCATTTTGGAAACATGAAGTTAAACAATGCACATCAGAGTTATAAACTCAGCAACTTTACAATAGAACACTATTGCAAAGCTTACTCTTGTTTCAGATGAAGCACAGGGATGCAGACAAGCTGGAGTGTTATATAAATCCCAACTTTTGGTAGCTCCTTGTGAAGGAGTGAATCTGAAGCTACCAAGTAGTCAGGTTGTTCACTGCCATGATGATAAAATTAAAACAGAGGACTGAAAGCAAAGGGAGCACAAGGCAATCTATTTAACCACCTGAAGCAAAGTTTACCTTGGTAAACACAAGGATACTCATCACCAAATACAACTTTTTTGGATTACACTTGGATAAGAAGTTCAGGAAACAGTCTGCAATTGCCAAAGCCATTGGGTAAAAGGAGACAACAGCCAACACCATAAATAAAAAGGACATGGTCACTGCAAGCTAGCAGTGAAACTAACCAATATGACAGTTATTCCCCACTAGGGAAAAAAAACAGTCTCCAGAAAAAAACCAAAACCAACAACACTCAAACCAAACCCACACACCCACCAAAAAAATCCACCACAAAACACGTCATGGAAATAGCTTTAAATATGGAGCAGGTAGCATGGGACAAGAGGCATGCATAGACTCAGTTTTCTGCTCCTTAACACCCTTTCCTGTGTCAGGGATGCTGGTAAGAGAACTTTTCCTATGAGGAAAAAAAAAGCCGTAAAATTAACTGGCTAAGGGCTGGAATAGTCTCTGGTCTGTCATTTCCTTGTTCTAGTTCAGTGGAATTGGATGAACCATTAGTAAACTAAAGTTGTTCAGAATTCTCCTCAGAAAAATACCTCTCAGGTAAAATGTGACTATAGATGAGCAATACTGATGAAATTTAAGATGGTCTATACCCACTCATCCATCTCTCAAAAAAAGCATGGAGATGTGCACTGAAGGTACAAATGCCCAAGTAGAGTCTTTTTTGATTATCAGAACTTTTTATAGCCCAGCCTTTGGACTTAAGTCATGTTGTCCTTCCCTTAACTGGAAAACAAGTTGAGACAACAGAACAGCTATTTACCACTATTCAAATTTCATCATTCCAGGAAAACAAAGCAATCCAACTCATCAATGTGTTCTCCCTAGCAAGAGGAAACACCATGGAACAGAGATAAAACCGTACTTGACAGTCATTTTTCTGACCATAACTAAGACGGTTTTCCTCTTGTTCATTTTCTTACTTGATTTCCTTTCTTGATTTTTTTCTTACTTGATTTCCTCTTGTTGTGCAATTTCTTACTTGTGGCTTGAAAGCTGTTAAATCCACTCTAATACTGGAGAAAGATTCTAAGAACCAAGGATCCATACGCAGTTCTTGTTACTGCCTTCCTTTCTGCAGATTTAAGATTAGAGCTGCCGATGGTATTCCCCCCAGCTGCAAGTACTACAGGCTTTTACCATCCTGTAGCAATCCTGTCTTTGCTAAAGGAGTTTATTTAACCTTTCAGTACTTCCACAAGCATGACTCATTGTAGCAACTGTCCACTGTTCTGTGTTTTGCATCTGGAATGTATTCTAGGGTGAAAGAGGAGCTGGCATAGTTTGAATTGCAAACTCAATAGTTTGTAGAGTGACCACTATGGAAAAGCAAATCCTTAGGGACCTACTTTAACTTTTGAATAAAGTCAGTATGAAGTTTGTTTCAGGATAGAAGTAGAACAGTTTTGGAAAGTCAACTAAGGAGAGACAGACAAGACACATCCTAAAGAGAAATAAAGATGCTCTAGACATGAGGCACCAGAGGCATAGACCCTCACAGGAAGAACTAGGAAGAGACAACATTTACACAAAAGACGTCCAACATGGAGATTTTTCCAACTAATATCACCCTGATAAAAACCTAAATCCAAGAGACCAACTAAGACTGCCCAGAGAGAACGTCTCAAAACTCCCAGTTACAAATTTTGTCATGTGGTACCATACACAGGGTAGGCTTCAATACACCACCTCCCAGCATGAAATGTATTTTAGGACAAAGATCATAATGTATAGTTATTTTTCACTCTTCCCACCTAGGACAGAAGATAAGTTCAGATCACAATGGCTTTGCCAGGATATACCATGAAACACAATTTTAGATAGAACCATTTTTTACAGTCAGCTTGTAGCAATTGGCCCTTTCATATCAGCAGCTCTTGGTTAAAGTTCCGAAGATCTATCAGAAAGACTGAAAACCTCAAACATCGCCTAGTTCCAAACAGAAATAATCTGAAGAGCTGCTGCTTTCTATGTCCACGTATTATCTGTCCTTGGCTTTTGGGGACAGCCTCACAGTCACTCTGCCCTCTCATCCTTACCACACTAACCTTCCACAACTTGCGACAGCTCAGCTCTGGAGTTTATACAGTTGCTCAACAATCCAAATTTAGCTCCTCCCATCCTCTTACCCTCCAAAAAGTAACCTGCTGAATCCCTGAAAGAATTATCAGAAAGTGGCTAATTGAGGTCCAGCTGTGCCAACCTAAGTGCACAATAGGACGCAAGGATTTTCTTTTGTAGAACCTGATGTAACACACAGTTTCTAAAGCTTTCAGTCTTTTCAATTCTAAGGCTACTGACAGGCTCTGGTGCTACAGAAATTTTGAAGCCCTAGGACAGGCTTTTGCTTTAAGCTTGGGATAGTTCTGTCACACGAGCTACTCCATATCAGCTTGTTTGACACTGGAATGGATGCCCAGGTTAAAAGTCACATTGTAGAGATGTGTTTCAGCTGCACTCCATCCTGCTTGCTCCATCTTGATGTCAGATGTGACATGAGATGTCCTCTAAGCTGCAACACCACTTCTATGCATTAAAGGAATGTGCCCAGCCACAGAGGTGACAGAGGAAGATATGTTGCAGTTAAAGCTGCATGGGCCAAGATTATCACTCCTGGCTCTAAATCCAGAGAGATGTGTCAAGCCTAGTGTAAGGATGGAACAATCCTGAAAAGAGTGAGTTGGATTTTCTGGAAGCTTTTAAAATCTTTTAGAAAGGGACTTTGGGGTTCAAAGAACATGTCTTGATATGTTTGAGAGTTTTATTTGTTAAGTAAAATTGGAAACCTTTTTTGCTGTGTTTGAAGCAATTTAAACAGTTATAATTCCTGTGATATTGAACTCTCCCGTCTCTAGTATTAATTTATGTACTCTTTACACGAAGTGCAAAGGAAATCTAGCCAAGTTCACGCATCAAATAAGCCATCAAAACACAAGTTTATCAAGATTTTTCATTATGATTGAGTAATTGAAGATGACAAAAGTACGTGTCTAAATCAGTGGGAGCAAAGCCTGAATGGACTTTACTGCTTAGCTACAAGATTATGTAACCCAGGTTCCTCTGATGGTTTTTCTGTTGTTGACGTGTCTTCACAAGTCATGTTATCTGTCATCTCTTCCCAAGCCTATGTCCTCCTTCTTCATATCCCACTTTTTAAAAACTTCTTATATATTAAGCACTTACATATTAATCTTCAGGTCCTTCTGTTATGTGAGCTGTGCCACAAAATAAAGGACAGTTCCTGGCACTTCTAGAACTTCCTGCCATAGTGACAGAAGATAACTTTAGGAAAAAAAGATGCAGTAAGTTGCTTAGCTAAGGCTGCCTTCCTACATAATTTGCAAGCACCAAGAAGAAAAGAAGTCACAAACAGCCTGCAAAGAAATTTCAAAAATGTAAAGACTTCCCCTGTTACACCTTGTTCTGCCGAAACTGTTCAGAAATGGAAACCAGTTCAGACAAGTATTCTTTAGGAAAACATGGTCACAATGGCAATGGAATTAACAAAAGTAAATAGTCCTGCGTTCCAAAGATCTATGAAAAGTTTAGAATCAGGTCACAGATGTTGCATCAATAAGGAACATAATGCAGCAATGACTGACAGTAGCTTTGCAAATTTTGTTTCAAGAACATATAACCCATCTTTTGCAGCTTCCAATGCAGGCTTCACCTGCAAGCTCTTGAGTTTGCCTGCAGCTCCTACTGAGGGTACAGTTTCCTGGGATGGTACAGCAGCATTCTTACATTCTCTTTGTGTATGTGTTGAGGACTTCTCAGGTTGAAGAGACACCTGACTTTCCATGAAGGTGAACATCCAGCACCTTCCAGAACACAAACTCCTTAAATGATTCTGAAATTGCTCGGTCAAGAGGAATCCCCTTATTTAAAACAATGGGCATAGAAGCACAAAACTTTGTCCAGGGAAGTTCTGTATCAGAATAACTACACCACCACCTAGAAAAATGAGCCATTTGAAGCTGTGCCCAATTGCTGATTCTCACTGATGGCGAAAACTTGCAAGTGCTGAGCAATGTTGGCAGAGAAATTAAAAGGATGGCAAAGCTTTAGATGGCAATTGAGCAAAGCAGCTCAATTCCTTCAGGGCCGGAAGAAGAAACAGGTTGTAAATGCTCAGCACTGCCAGGAAACAGCTAATTGCCAACAGAGATTTAGTTTCTACAGAGGTTTTGCACTTACAGTAACTATTGGGTGGAAAGAAAGAGAATGATTTCTTCTACTTTTCCACTATTGGGTGGAAAGAGAGAGAATGATTTCCCCTAAAATGAGCTGAAACTTCCCAGCTGCTACAAGCCAATGTAAATTGAGACATCTGCCAGAAAGGATAGATTTGCCTTCTTAAATTGCTTTTATCAAGATCGGTTGTCCAAAACAGCATCTATGGAGATGGCAGGAGAGGAACAGGACCACATCTTTCAAGCATCGGTCCACATGAGACTGCAGTTCTCAGTTCTTTTAACCCCCCCATATCCACTGAAGACTCTTCCTCATACAGCCTAGAAGGAAGGACGGCATTTTCCAGAATGAGTCTCCAAAATATGAGTCATTTACTTCAAGGTATTTGCATAAAAAGCACAAGCACCAACATGTTTCTTTTTGTTTTACATGAAGCAGATTAGGTGAAAAGAGCCTGTTCTTTGCACTGACAGTAAGGATAACATTCTGAAGTTTCTGCCTGTCAGTGGCATGATTGAGGCCACATGTCCTCATGTTCTGAGAGGAAGGACTAAGTTAAGCACTCAACTTCCACACAGACAAGTCAGAACTCTTGAGACTCAGCTACAAAGGCTGCAATGGCACCTATTGTACAACCCACCACATCTGTTTTGGCAGCAATCTCTAATGATACACTGAGCAGCAGTCTGAATTTATGTAAGTTCACTTGCACATTTAAAGACATGATTCTGGCACACATTCCTTTCTTCTCCTATGCAACAAGGCAAAAAGACGTAGCAAAGGGGCAGAGCACATTAACTGCAGCTGTTAATGTTACCCCATTACTATAGCTTCTGGAAAGTCACCTCCCTCTCCATTTTACAGTAGATCATTTCTGTTTGTATTTGGAGTCTTATCTGTAAGCTTCTGTGCAAGTGGTGTAATGAATTTTCTAGTGATTCTAATATCACTTACTACCAGGATATAAACACAGCTTGCCTGCAAAAGTGGGCAAGGACCACAAGAGGCATTACAAAGTGCTTGCCACTACTTTCTATCCCACATTAGTGTATTCACCTCTTTACAAAAGTGGATTTCAGACAATCTTGCAAGAAGGACATCCCATTAAACACCACACACTTTGAACTGAACACTGAAGAAAACTATTTTCCCCATAGTAGAGAAAGAAATTATGAAGTATCAAGCCGTTAAGGGTCCAGTACAAAACTCAACAGTGGAAGAAATTGGAAATTCCCTAGTTAGGCATTAATACTGAATGTCCCTGTTTCATAGCATGTTCCAGTTGAAGAGCTACAACATCAGGGCTCCACCTAATCAATAATTTTTTAGGGTGCCTGTTTTAAATAAGCCCATTCAAATATTTATTTGCAGCTAGATTTAGAGATGTTATTTCCTGCCTATTTTCCCCACAAATCCAAGGTGATTTCTGTTCCAGTCTGCAGGCCATACCTGAAAATCAAGCCAAACAACTGAAGCAGACTTTTTCCATGCTAGCTGCCAAACTAAAAGAGGAAGTCAAGTTTCAGACTGACACAACTAACTGTAAGACTAGTTCAAGCTGCCTTTCTATGGAGCTTCTCAGAAACTTTTCTTTTGCCCAGTAAGAATACTTAAAAATAATGCAGTGAATCACAGAAAGTGGGTGAAGGGCTTGTTTAAACTGAAAGCTAACACCATTGCTCCATGGCCATTTCTAGGTTTAAGATTTTAATCCCAGAGTAAATATTCTCTCATCTGCTTCCCCTCTTCTTCAGACAATACTGTAGCCTTTTAATCTAATTCAGCACCTAACTCCAAATAGATGTCCCACACTGCAGCAAGAGCTTGGCTGTTGCATGGGCCACTACAATGTAGGCACTGAGGCAGGAAGACAGACAAATGAGAATTTGTAAGTTCAGTTTTAGATGAGGATGCAGGGTGGTTTTGTGCCAAATTATTGTGTTTTTCTCCTTCAGTTAGGCCAGCGATGATAAAACATGTTGTAATTAAAAATGTCAAATATACTGGTTAACTTGCAGGGTATGGGAGTATTGTGGGTTTTTTTAGTGCTCTGTTAGATTAACTCTCCCTGTTCTGCACTGAAGTTAGCACAGAACAGAGGTGAACTCTTGAGTCCACATAGCAGAGTATCATCCCATCATGACTTCCGAAATTATCTCAGCTGCTCTCTTAAGCATGGCTCATTCAACTCAGCCCTAAGTCTCATGCTGACTTACCATCCAGACACCATTTATGCTCTGTAGACAACTGAGCATGACAGAAGTCCTGCATCACTCTTTTCTGCTCCAGATCCTTTCCCAAACATATAAGTAGAACCCAGGGAGACAAATCTTCAGGTTTGCTTGTAACCTGCAGAGCACATACACAAGAGTGAGGAAGGTGGGTTGCAGAACACTAGTGTTCACTCCCATCCTAAGATCCCATCAGTCAGAACTGACACCACTTTTACTGAAAACTCTTCCATCAACCAGGAACATAGACTGGATTTCAGTTCTGTTGTCAGGGAGGTATCCAGGTCTGCAGTTTCAGGGCCTTGCCTTCCCCACCACATGCACACACCCAGCAAGCACAAGTTCCAACGCTACACTGAATCCACCACACACAACGCTGTACCTCGAGCAAAGCACACGCTTACACACACAGGTCTAGTAATTTAAACTATAGGATCATCCTAGAAAGGAAGCTGCTCCGTGGAGAAAAACAATACTTCTATCAATATCTAAGGACACACATGCATATATAATTAATTATTAAAAATGAGCTTTCTGATTAATGATAATGAGGAAGAGAATCTCTTTAAAATGACCGCTAATCACTCATCCCCTCCCATGACTGCAGTGGAGCTGCCACTACCACAACACTTCAGAGGCCTCCTCTTGAGATCACCAAGAGCAAATATTGCCCAGTCCACTCCATCTTTCCATACACCCACAGACTTACATGCACTTAAGAAGAGACAGCCATTGCCCACTGTTCTTTGGCCCCGAACAGAGTCTGCTGTTGTTCATCCTCACCCCCTCCCATTCACTGCTGTGCTTAGCTACCACCAGCACTTAAGCAGAAAGAGAGAAATGTTGTATTCTGCTCGAGGCTGAGGGAAGAGGAAAGTTGTTAATGACCCCCGTCTGCTTCTTGCATAATCCCATCTAGTGGGTCGTCTTCTTTCATTCATAGGAAACGCATCTATTTGAATCAAGCAATCAGCCTGTCCTATCACACATTCACTTCTCGTTTAGCCCTTGTACTGCAGTTATTTTCTTAAGAGATTAATTACCATTTGGGATAGCTCAGCAAGTAATTTGATAAAACTGTGCAGATGCTGTGTAAATGCAAAGTTTATACATACTATACACACACACACACACACACACACACACACACACATACACACATATTTTCTATAAAAGCATGAAGTACCAGTCATTCAAGATATAGTAACAGAAGTTAAAGAAGTTACATTTTTAACTACTTTAAAATTAAAGCTACACAAACAGCACCTTAAATTCAACTAAAGTGTCACTCTAACTTGAGGCAAATCATTTTCTAGAAATAGGAACTAATCAGACTGTCCATTTCTCCTAACTTCCAGCCTTCAATTCTGAAAGCATTCACTGTTTTCAGAGACCAAAGAATAGCCCGAAATAGTTATAGCACTGAAACTGAATAAACGTTATGTCAAGAGGCACGAGAGATAGAGGAGTTTGAGTAATCAAACTCCTAAACAAACAAGCACTATCCAAACCTGTAAGGTTCATGTTCTCCAATCTCAATTTGTATAGAAGATACCACTTCTTGGGAAGGGGCTGTCAGTTAGGGGAGAGGGTTATAGAAGATGGCAAACTTTTGCTATTATAAGTGTACTCGATGAGCTGGCAACCAAAAGACCAGCCAGGATAATGTTTCCCCCACTGATTTAGCACATCTGTGACATCTGGATTCATCTGTCCAGCTATCCTTTTCCATTAGTACAGCAGTGAAATGTTTAGCTTCAATTATTTTATATGATTACATAAGTTTCAAGGTTCTCGTGTGGTTTGCACATTTTAAAGTTTTCAAGACCGTCAAATATTCACAAGCTGATAGTTCTTTGAAAATTTAAAAACAAATTCAGTACTGAAGGTTTCTACATGCATATTGGGGGTCTCCATGATTGCCTCAAGCCAGCCAGAAAGACGTAAGCATTTCAGATTTTAGGATAATGTGGATCGAGAGCCACCTCAGCATATACAAAGGAGCTGCAGATTGGCTGGGATAATAGCGGTGCAAGGCTTTGTTTAAGCCTGTCTGCAAACGGGTGGGAAGAATTCCATTAGTCCTCTCCTACTTCTGTGGGAACTAAGGAGAATTTTGGCTTTTATACATCCTCTTCTGCAATGCAACAAGGGCAGGGATTGAACAGGAGATATTTGCCTGCTCTTAGGTGTTATTAAATGGGAAGCAGGACGAGCATAGGCTCATGGCAGAAAAGCAAAGTAAAGCATCCCTCCTTCCCCACCCCGTGCACTTAGGAGGAACAGAGGTGCAGCTGCTGAGGAACAGCATCCTGCAGTTCCAACTCACCATGGCTCAAGTGCCCTCCCTGAGAGCTGTAAACAAACAGCCACAACAAGCCACAAAACAGAGGGCTAAGCAGAGTTCCTCAAGATGCAAATCAGATAAGAAAAGTCAAACAAAGGAGCTGCTAAACACTCCCAATGTCTTTAATAAGCACTGAGATTTCTCCAAGGTGACAGTCTTTGTAAATTAAATGAAGGAACTTGTGTTCTTGAATTTAACCAGAAGTGCTTGTCTCAGCTTAGGTGAAATGGATAATAGGTCACACTAGTCAATAACATCAAGAGCCAGTAAAATAATATTTTTACATATATAAAAATACATGTCTGTTGTATATATGTGTGTATATACACATACACACTTCTCTGCAAGATTAATGTAAGGCCAAGAATGTAACAAACTACCTACAGCACTTGCATACACACAGCACCAGTTTAGGAACTGCTGGGAGGACAGTTTAGTGGAATGGAGTTAAGTAGAAACTACAAATGCAATTCAGTGAGAGAGAACCACAAAAAACCAATCTGTGGACTGCAGAAGGAACCTACAAAGATGGGAGCAGAGGCTTGCAAGGCAGGGATGACTTAAGAAGGAAAAACAAAGATGTCGCTAAAGCCTGATCGTTCTAGAAAATTGAACTTGGAAAACAATGCACTAGAAAGCCAGTATTTGTTATTTTCACAGGACTTTACTCACGGCTTGCTGACAAAGCAGCCGGAACCTCAGCAAACAATTAGTCATAGGTATGGTCCCTTTGCAACCCCTATTACTCACTAGGAGGTTTCCTAGTAAAAATGCAGTGAATAAATGTGTTACTGAAAAGTCAGGAACATTACAAGGAAGAAAGCATTTTGTGTGAAAGCTCTTTGTGTATTTTTAACAGTAAAACATGTAGCTTGCACAGTCTGGTGCACAGTGCAAAGTTAAAGACTAAGCATCCTTTAGTAAACTAAGTCAAGCATCCTTCCTCTGTGTCATATTCCTTACAAAAACACAGCTAATCGAGGGCTGAGGGCACGGGGCTGCAGTGCTGTTTGTAAACTGCTATTGATGAGTAGCAGTTTAAAGAACAAGAAAAATCAAGTTTTCTGCCCCAAGACAAAAGGTCTGTTTTGTCTGAAAAGCGTCCTCAGGTCTTACAGGAAGAGAGACTGGAAGTAACAAATTTTGCAGGATACAATAGGAGAAGAAATGTGAGCAGTCTTAGCAGGTCAACAGCATGTTCAATTTGAAGAAACTTTCCTTAGCTCTAAATGCAAAGGACCAATTAAATCCTTTCCTTTGCTGCCATGTCCCAAAGCACCTCCAACCATATGCTCTGTGTTGACAAAAGATGTTCTTTATTCCCAATTTCCTGCCTCACCTGAGTTGGTGAGGTTTTGCTGCTGCATGTGAAGGGTGGTCATGAACCTTCAGAGCACAGCAGCATTCCTGGGAGTTCTGAGTGACCATTTTTTATTCAAGTTTTAAACTACATTCAGAAAGCTGGAGTTGATATCAGACAGTCAACCTTGACCTCATGAAACTGCTTTGCAGAAAGCCAAGGAAGGAAATCCTACAGCCTTTGGTCTTTGCAATGTGTACATGTAGGTCGCACTTCAACAGTGATGCCAACTAAGTTGCTTTTGCTTACAGCATTCCCTTCTTCTGAGGTCATCTGTTTGCAGGTTGTTTAAGCAGCCCTGGGATCTGTTAGATTTTCTGAGTTATTTGGGCATGTAGCAGCCACAGCATGTCCAAGCCACAATTCTGAGTTGAAGATCAGACTACACAGCTGGCCAAGCAACAAATAAGCTTCAGGTTTATTCTAAAATGTTGCAAATCCCAAATCAAGGTGTTTCATCATTCTACTTCATGCATGGTGGTGGTTTCCCCATTGACTATAAAATGTAAGCCAAGTGTCATCTTTCAAAGATCCTTCCACAGCATTCTCCCCTTTGCTGCCAGGGACAAAGGTCCTACAAGGAAAACTTATGAAAGAGTGGAACCTCTAGTATCCATATCTATTATTTCAGTTTATGAAGACTCAGGAATGCACAGATCTCAGTTCAGGATCTGGACCACAGTATCCCAAATGTTGCAAAGAATCCAAAGATATGTCTCCTTTGTCAGAGAAAAATCCTGCTTCCACTTCTGGCCAGCCTGACAGAGGTGGGCCATGCTGCTTTCCACCGGACTTTAAAGATTACTTATTACTGAATGAGATAGCCTCCCTTGAGATGTGCCCATCGTAGGAAGCTAAGGAAGGTATCTGACTAATCTCTGCAAGTGCCATGTGCAAGGAAGGACCAGTAGCGCAGTGCTAATCCATCACAGTAGTGCAATGCTCGACATCAGGTGGTTCCCTCCCTCTTTTTGCCAGTCCCAAGTCCCAGCCAGACCCACTGCAGTAACAGCAATGCCACAGGGAGGTTTCCCAACACCAAAATCCCCTCAGTATTTCTTGTACTTCTAGTAACCAACATCTTTAAGGTAGAGGATTACCTAGACAACTGCTCAGGTGCAGAGGGATAACCATGGCAGAGGCAAGGCTCAGTACATCCTGGATGCTGTAACGCTGGTGGTGCAGTGATACCAAACACATCAGCCACTGGCATTTCCAACGATAAGACATGACTTGCAGGGTTTTCCACATACTTCTCCCTAATCTGTAGGTGAATTACCATTCCTATCAGCAGTACTCACTACGCCAGTTTGGCCAGATGTCAGAGAGACTGTCACAACTGCTGCTTGGGGCAGCAGGAGCAACCAGTTTCTTTCTCAATAATATGGGATCTCAGAGAAAGCAGAAAGTGATACAGTTTTGTTCCACTGAGTGGAAGACAACCAGTAAGCAGATACTATTATATTTCTAAGCAGGAAAACAAACTCCAAACCCCTTACCTGCAAAAAAAGCCCACATTTTTACTGTGATACTACGTTTCTGTATATAATAGATGGTGGACTTGTATGAAACAAGTTCTGGGAAAAACAACCAGTAACTTCCATAATAGAAAAGCAACACCCAGCTCTATGTGACAGTCCAGGCTTCTGGGATACTGCTAGAATATTCCACAGCTGTTATCAACAGTGACTTACTGTCTCCTGCCCTATTCAACAAAATCCCCTTAGACTGCAGCTATTTTTCCTTTTAAAAAAGAATCAGTTCCTTTTCTAGCCCCATCCTTTTTCCTTTTCAACTGCTAGAAGAAATGCAAGTACCGAGGAGAAGTGAGAACCAGACAGCCTTATACAAACCAGGTTTCAACAGCTGCACTAGTAGTTTCAACAGTACTGCTAGGAGATCCTCAGGCATGCGGCTGGATATCTGAGTTGAGGATGCTGCAGCACGTACCGAGTTCTGCACTGCCTTGCCAAGATAATTACAGGGGTTCTTATCATTATTTTGCACGCCATGTAGTTGCTTACACCGGCATCTCCCATCTCCGGATACATCCAAGATCTTGCGCAGAAGCAGTTAACGAAGCTACAGTCTCCCAAACAGCTCAGGTGATTTGTGTGCTCCCCGCAGAGATGAAGAGTTGCGATTCTCCCTTTCCTGGGTCCCGCCGCCCCCAGCCCGGCCCTGCCCCGCGCCCGCCTCCCAGCGCGGCAACAAGGGCATCCCCAGCTCTCCCGAAACCTGTGGAGCCCAGGAGAATCGAACGTACCGGGAAAGTCGCGGGTTGGAGGACACCCCGCCGCCCCCACGGGCATTCCCCCGATGGCTGTTGCCTCCTGGCAGCCCCGCGGCCCCAGAGCCATGGTGATCCTGCCCACCGCCGCGCCTTCCCCCAGCCCCGTCCTCCGGAGCGCCCGCGGAGCCCGGGAGCGGCCTGGGAGGGGCGGCGGGCAGGGAACAGCTTCCAGCCATGCGGCTGCGGGAATCCCTTCGGGGGAACAAAGGCGGGAGCCGGCGGGCCCGTCCCTGCACACCCCCGCCGCCAGCCTCCCCCCTCGGGAGCTCCGCAGCCTGGTCAACAGCACACCAAAAAAAAAAAAAAGATACTTTTTTTCAAGCTTTGCTTCGCGCAAACCGCCTTTTTGAAAGCGTTCACTCTCCTTCTTTTCCCTAAAGTGATTTCTCTCTGCCGATTTTTCCTACGGGGAGCCCAAAGCTGCTCGGGGCGGCGGCAGCTCCGTGCCCACGTTCCGCGCTCAGCAGGCGGCGGCAGCCCCGGCGCTCTCCGGGGAGCGTCCCCGTGTTGCAACGCAGGGCTGCGCGGAGAAACTCCCAGCCGGATCTGCGAGTTTCTTGTGTGGGAACAGTGGAGGGAAAAAAAAAAACAAATCCCACACTTTTCCTTGTAGGAAAAAAAAGTTGTTTGGAGGAATAGGAAGCCGGGAGGGGCTGCTGGAACAAGGGGCGGGAGGAAACGGCGCGCCTTTGAATGGGTTGTTTCACCGCAATGCTCGAGTGGCCGCGATTTTCCCTCCAAGGCTCAGGGCATGAGAAAGACCCTGAAAGAACCACAGAAAAGCTGCTAATTTTCTGGATTTTTTTTTTTTTCCTAAAACATAATCGACTGCCAGACAATCAGAGGTTTGGGGGGAATCTGCTAAAAGGTTACACAGAACAGACATCAAAACTACAGTAAAGTTTGGGTCTCGTTTATCACAGGAATTTGAAATCCCAAACCCCAACAAGACCCTTCTTTAGGACGGGAGAGGGGCAAGCGCATACGGCGATAATGGATGCGGTCTGCACCGAAACCTTGGAAACAAAGCAGTTGGAAAACTCGTTAGTCCAAAGCAGGGAACTGCAATTCCTGAAACGCGGAGAAGTGAGACACCCTCCTCCCCTGAACAGACCAGTTCTTACAATCCCTGAAGCCAGGCAGAGAAGAGGAAAAAATAGCATTTAGAAAACCGGAATATTTTCACTACTTTTAGTTACCCGGCACTCGCTTTAGCCATCAGAGGGACGAACAGCCCGGCCGCTCTTAGTTGAGAAAGCGCGAGGGGCAGCGGGACGACGGACACCCAGCAGAGATCCCCGCAGCTCACCTACCGAACCGGCCGGAGAGCTGCCTTCTCCTCCGCCGGCTCCCTCGGGCGGCAGGGACGGGCCGGGCCACGGCGCTCCCCGGCTGCAGACGGGCTCCGGCGGCCCGGGAGCCACCGGCGGCTCCGCCCCCAGCGCCGCGCTCCCCGCGCCCGGCCCGGCTCCCTCCTCGGCTCGGGTGTCCCGCTGCTCGCGAACGCCCTGCCCGCCCGCGGGGCTGCTCCCGAGCACCGGGCAGGGTGAGACTGCGGCGTGCGACGTGGGAAAACCGTCATGCGCTGACGCTCACAGCGCGGAAAGCGATGTGCTAAAAGTTCTGAAGTACTTAGATATTAAACATTTCTTAGGGGACGCCATAAAAGTTAAGCTAATTGCGCTTCTAAGTCTCCGAGGTGCCAAATAGCATCTTATTGCTGGGTAGTTAGTTTGTAGATCACAGTGAAACTTGTTTGTCTCACTTTACTGTTGGGAATCTTCAGAGGAGTAAAGAGCACGATTTAGGGTTTCTTTTACACCTTCCCCACAAATCTTGGTGACTTCCTCACACCAGCCTGAGGGGAATGCCTGATTCATTGGAGAACATTAAGAGTAAGTCAATCTCCATGGGCAGTAGGGCTCAGACAGAAGTATTTAAAAAACAAACCAAAGAAAATGCTGTGAACTTACCTTCACTGAATACACTTTTGCCAAACTTTTGTAAAGATAAAAGCTCGGTTAAAAATGGCATTCAAATTCACTTGAAAAGCCACTACAATGCTGTGCCTTGTGTAATTTTGTAGAATCACAGAATCATATAGACATTTCTCACTGTCTATAAATATCAAACACAAACCCATTGTGTATCTCCAATTCTTTCACATGACTGTGATTGATCTGAATCATTCCTGACCTCATCAGTGACTTCACAGAAATTTAACTATTGCATATCATGACAATTAGGGTCTGTTTGTCACTTTGCAACCATAAATCTGACAACATCTTTGTGAGGCAAGGAATTGTTTTCTTTTTTTCTTTTCACACACAAGAGAGAAAATAGAGATAGGAATACTGTTGTCAAGGTCACCCAGCAAAAGTAGAGCAAGGGTAAAACCTGAGCGGCTGATGATCCTATTGAAGGATGTGTTGTTTTGAAATACAGGTTTTGCTTGGGAAGCTTCAAGGCCTAAGGAATTTTTCCTTAAGAGTTTCTCCTTTCTCCTTAGGAAAGGAGTTTCTCCTTTTTCCTGTATGTGACTTAGTATGACTAATTACTTTATAGCAGCCTTCCCAGATTTTTCTTTTTCTGTTTGATTCTGGAGTAAGATGAAGTATAATTCTGTGCAATCTTCAGTTCACCTTAGAAGGAAAAGTTTGTAGGTCATTGTGGAGATCTGAGATGTTTTCTGAGCAGTGTTTAAAAAACAATAGAAATAACCTTATAAAAAATGCACCATTCATTTTTCTTACCAAAATGATAGTTGTTGATTCCTTCCCTAGTTCACAAATATGGTGTGGGTTTTTTCCATACGTTATTCTTCTTTCTTACTTTTAAGTGTCTGCATTTCTGCATTATCTGTGTCTGGACAATGCAGCTCCCAGAAAATACAGCTTCAATGAGTCACAAAAAATTTGACTGATTTTGAGTCAGTCTCAAAATTAGGAGATAACTTAAAAATTTAAGGTGTGTTTATGTGGAAACATCATTCAGACATAATTAAAAGATTTTAAGAACTGGGTCCATAGAAAACAAAGTCAGAAATATTTCACTTATTGAACAAAAATGACTGTTTCTAACCAGCACTGCAAAGAAACTGAGTTTGCCATACAGTTGTGTCCACTTTTTTCCTGAAAAGTGACATCTGCTCAAAGGATCCACAACCTTTTCTTTGTCTTCACTAATGTCCCATCTTGATTGATCTGGATTTTCTCCAATTGATGTCATTGAAGTAATCACACTTCATCCTGCTTCTGACCCAAAATTGCAGTAGGAAAGTTTATGTCTATATCTCTTAATAGATTTTATTTTTCAGTAAGCAGAATGTAAAATGGACGTCCCTTTCCCCTTTTCCCCTTTTCCCTTTCCACTTTCCCCTTTCCCCCCTTTTTTTCTTTCCATTTTCCCTTTCTCTTTCCCCTTTCACTTCCCTTCTCCTTTTTCCTTTCCACTTTCCTTTCCCCTTTCCATTTCCTTTGTATAAAACCAAATCTTGTTAGCTCCTATGTTGAGATAAAACTTACTTAGAAAATTAAGCTCCACCTTTTCTTTTTTTTCCCCAGTGATGCTGGTAGGGAGAGTTTTTCAGAGCACCACCCTTATTTGCTTATAAATTACACTTAAACATCCCTTCTCGGCCATATCAGGTCCCCTCAGCCCTGGCGGAAGTGCAGAGCCGGTTGTGTCTCTACACCAACAAAGCAGGAGGCAGCCCTATCTGGCTGGCTGTTCTGAGAGGCCCCTCACACGTGGTTTTCCCCAGGAAACCTCCCCTGCTGTAATCATGCTGTCCTGCATGTGCAGGTTCAGGTCACCGTGCAGAGCCTGGGGTGGTTTATCAGTGGAAGGATGTGGGACAGTGCAGGCAGCTCACAGGCATGGGGCGTTAGCAGGTGCATCCCTGCTACCCAAACTGCCTTTCCATTTCGCTCAGTCGGTCACACCGTGGCACCAGTATCAACCTAGGTTGTGGGTTTGATTCCTGTATTCCACTCACTGCCCTCACATCCAGCTGGAAACCTCAGGCTCTATTTCAGAGTAAATAATCAGCTGATAAGATTCAACAGAACATGGAGAAATACCTAGATGTTACTGTTTTGTAGAATAGTTTTTAATTCCTGCAGATTTGTGTTGAGCTGCAGTGTCCTTATTGGTTCATACTGTATAAGCAACATGGTTTAGCTATTGTTGCCCAGTGGAAGAAGAAGGTCTGAGGGAAATTCCATAAAATACTTCGTAACTAAGTAGAAGCCTACTTTCCAACAAAGTATTTGCACGAGGAGGTTGGGATCAGAGATCTGTCATTTAATGCTTCTGAGTCTTTGAATCTCCAAGGAGCCCTGAGGAAGCCACACGGTGCTCTCAGAGGGGTTGTGCTTCTGGCCCAGCTGCTGCTGGGTTCATCCCACAGACCCATCCCAACAGGAGGGACTGCCATGATCCAACAGCACCTGTTGTGTTGTCCAGTGCAGCCCAGGATAGTCCAGACCCAGCACTCATGAGAAGAGATATTCAGTCAATGGAAAGACAATCTAAAAATCCAGAAGCACAGTTCTATTTGATAAGCCAAACCAGCATCTTTCTGTGTATGCTTGACGTGCTTCTTGTATGAGAAGTGTGAAAGTCTTTCACAACCACATGACTGTGCTTGGACTGTAAGTATAACAGAGCTGGGCATTTTTGACAAAATCGCAAGCAAGGCAACCCTTTCTAGTTCATTTGCACAAATGTTGGTAGGCAGCCTGTTCCTGTAGCAAACTGGCCAAATCATGCATTGATTATTTTGCTGGGATATTACTCAATTTAGATTCAAATGTTATTGTGGGGAAATGATTTGCTTGGCTGCTCTGTGGTTTGAATTTATGGCCGGAAATCTGATTCATAGATCTATTCTGAAAATAATTTTACAACCAGTCTAAGCTCATTTAGGGTTGCTGCTGCACTTTTTGCTCTCTCTCTCCACACACTCACCTCATGTAGTTTTTTTGTTTTTTTTCTTTTTTGTGTGGTTGCTTTTGGGTTGGGTCAACTCCTCAAGCTCACCAGTTTACCTTAGTGTGCATGCTGGTGTACTCTCACTCTCAAACATGAGGAAGGAGGCAGGATGGAGATACTGGGAGTATGCTCAGTTGCTCCTTTATAGCTATGGAGTGGATAAACTGATCAAGAAACTCCATCCAAAAAGCTGACATTGGCAATCCCCATCAGATAGGAAACTGAATTTCCTGTAAATTTGGAATATTTTTCTGGTTTATTTGCTTTGGATCTGATAAACCCAGCATTTTTTTAGTCCACCTTGCAACAAGGGCTGGGGAACTGACTGCTGGGCAGTGTTAGTGCTTAATTTTGAAAACACAGAAGTACGACACCTGTTCCAGGGCTTTCTGACCACAGTTTAACTATTTTCATGAGATGACCCCCAAGATCGTGCATGTGGTTTTAGTGTTCTCAGTGAGTGGTCAATATGGCCTTGACAGAGATCACTTACAAGCACAGCAATGTGTGTCTGGAAGTGACTGGTGCGCAGTGGCAGGGGTTACAGTGTTATTCATGTTTCAGCTTCATTCAGGTCTATTACTGCTGAATAATAAGCAAGGCATTGGTGGTTTTGTGCTCAGGTGAGGCATGTCACAAACGCAGCATAATCCCTTCTTTCTGAATTAAATTCTCATGAGACAGTAACCTCTCCTACATTTATATTCAGACAGAATTAACTTCATGAATGACCAGTTCAGGGTTTGAAGTCTGAGGTATCATTTTTGTGACTTTAATGAAAGAGAGTCAAGTTTAAGACTAAGGAGTGGTCTCAGCTATCATGTATGCATGGAGCATTTCTGTACACATGCAAAATAATCTCCAAGCATGTACACAGTCCAGACTCACTGCTTGTCCTCTGAGCATGCACATAAAGTGTGCTTTACATACTGAGGAAACCTGTGGAGCATCTGGGATCACTTCTGCACACCAGCAGCCAGCTGTCACTTTGCATATTCATATCCTGGAGTGTGCAGCCTGTGTGCCTGAAGGTGTTTGTGACAGGCTCCCATTGTAGATTTGGATATTATTTAAATCTAAGAATCCTTTAGATTCAGTGTTTCTTATTATCTGGGTTGGGGTTATTGATCTAGCAAGGACTGGGACCTCCAGTCTGCATCACTCTGAACATGAGAATAAGTGTATCACTGAATCATCAGGTTATGTGGGTAGAGCAGGACAGCACTTCTGCCCAGGGTAAAGAATTAGAAGCTATTTTCAGAATGAGAATATTGTGCCAGAGCCCTATTCTAAATCAGCAATAGCAAAGTTGTGCTGACATTAGGTCTGGGAATTGCTAAATTTAGGTGTGGACTGGTGTCAAAAATACTAGTAGCTCAGGGAGTGCTACTAAAAGCTTTGGTGTCCAAGCACTTATTGTAACCATCAGACCTGTGTATGCAGGAGAGAACTAAGTTTCCTGATTTCATTAGCTATTGATCAAAGATGCAAAGCTTCTACAGGAGGCAGAGATAAATATTAGAACCTAGAATAGTGTAGATTGGAAAGGACCCG